CACTCCCGCTGTCATTCAGATGTCTCTGCAGAAACATCACCTGCTTCAGGTACAAGAACAAATTGACTTCGACCAGGAAACCTTCAAAACAGGGACTGTGCAACCTTAATTTTAAAGAATTAATATTGAGTTGAGTTTAAAACACCACTGGAAAATTGTATCCCTCTTAAATTTTTTTAATGGGACTGGCATTACAGTTATTTCATTAGCAGGCAAGCATTTGGATATTCTGATATACATGTAGGCTGTGATGTACTGTAATTTTGGAGTGATTTACAGCAGCTTTTTCAGAAATGGGTAGAGCAGGCCTGATCTTGGTTATACCTTTTGAAATTTCTTTTGGATTAAGGCTAGGAAACACAGTTTGTCAAACCATCTCTTGAGTCCAAAAACAGGGGGCTTCTTTGGAGCTTGGCCTAAGTCAGGGAATGGACACTATCTCATCCAGCCCTGGTCCTAATTAAGTAAAAAAAAAAATCCCTCCACCCAAACACCTCTATCCACTGAGTGCTGCATTGACCCTGGGTCCTCAGAAAAAAGCTTAGGTAAGTGCCTGTCCAGCCCAGGACAAGGGAGGGATGGTAGAAGTGCCATGTGTTCATGAACTTGACATGTTTTCCTGGAAAATATTGGCTCCTCATGCTCTCATAATGATTGATGGCCTCTGGGCTTTTTAATAAAATTATAGGTGATGAATTTAGTTCAATCCAGAGAGGTCAAACTCTCAGCCTTGACATAAGATTCGAATAGTAAATCACAGAGAACAAATGCACATCATCACCACCCATCCCCAGCCAGGGTGAAAGTGAGCTGGGGTTTTGGCACCATCTGACTCTAAACAAAGGGCAAGGAGCCCAGGAAGTAAGAATGTCAGTGCCTCTGTCATCAGGTTGTATAATTTTATTAGTCCTCTCACAAATTTCATCAACCCATGTTAGTACATACTACCCTGCTGGGCCACCAGACGCCTTGCTTTCCTCAGCCTCGCTGGGCAGGAGTGTGCAACACTGGGGACAGGGTCCTGTTGGTGGAGGGGGAAAGGGATGCTGAATGAAGAGGGGCAGCTCACAGTCCTCCTCAATAATCTTTAAGTAGGATGTTTGTGTGCGTGGTGTGTGTGAACGTGTGGGGGGGGGAGGGAGGGAGGGAGGGAGAGAGAGAGAGAGAGAGAGGAGCAGGGGGGAAAGGTGAGAGCAGAGACAATTGTAGAGGTGACTGCCCAGTTACAAGCATTTATATGTGTCCATTATGTCCTCTTCTGCCAACCCGACTTTCATAAAGACACGAGGAGACCCCTGGGGGGTGAAAAGAGGGTGGGGAAGCATAGAGGACTCCAATTTCCTCCCAGAGCCCAGACTTAAGACTTTAGCCTTTGCCCCTTTATAAAATATACATCAGGAATAAAACGGCAGCCCATTAAAGGCCACAATCAGAAACTATAAAAATGTTCAGAGCGACCTCAAAATATTTCCAAACACTACTTTTTTAATACACAACGGAGAGTTATTAAACGGCTTCTTGGTGAAGCGAGCATGGCTTCCGCAATCATCAAAAATTGATATGTACCGCTAGTAAAGTAATTATGCGCCATCCTGAGGATAAGGGAGCCGGCAATTGTTAATCCACTTGCACACCCGTTGACTTGCAGCATCAAGCTGCAAATAGCTTAATTAAGTCATACACGTGGACTATAACCATATTGCTCCATTGCATTATGCACACTATATCTCAATTTATTGGGACAATTAATGCCGGAGACCCACCTCAGGCAGAAACGTCATCCCTGCCCCCCAACGTCCAACTTGCTTTCGATTGATGCTGTCCAAGCTGGAAAGTCAAGAACAAGGGAGGGTTCACAGAGAAGGATGATGGGTTGGGAGTGGGGGCGAGATTTGTCCTGTGCAAAGTGTAGGGGCCCAATGAATGGTCCAAATAGATTGTCTCCAAAACCAAGGGGAAGCTTGTGCTACAGACAGAGCGATTTGGTCATGTATATAAATGGGCAGAATCCCCATAGTTTAATTCAAATTGTAAAGTGCAAAGCAAAGCCTGTTCATTGATCATAAGACATTTTCCACCGCCTGTCATGGCAAGTTTTTAAATCAGCTCTACCCTACACACACGTGTCAGCCACCGGCAGTTTGGTTTCCTGTATTTCAGACTAGAGTAGCCTTAGGGTTAAATCTACACGATTTTGCTCGGTTTGCAAACGACCAAGGCATAAACTTCTGTCCAGCAAATCCTCTCTACCCCTCCCCTGACTTAGGTGCTGCCGGTGGAGGCAGAAGTCTCTGCAGTCACCTAGGGGTGGGTGGTAGAGGGGTCACCTGCACCCAAAGCCGGCAGCAGTCGACTCTAGCTTCTCTGGCAGGTGCCAGAGTTAGTGTACCAGCGCCTGGGTTGGGGTCTTGGAAGATGCCCGGTACTTGTACCACTTCTAACTTGGGGGTTAGACAGGGTTCTATCTTGAGAGTGGGGCACCAAGTGCCCTGAAAGTCGTTGTAGAGGTCCAGGTGAACAAATACTCCCAGGAAGTCTGGGTCTCATGAACCTCTCAGAGGGGCCGGAGGTCAGGAATCGTCCAATTCAGACGTCCAATACAAGGACGCGGGGGTGGGGAGGGGACGAACTTCCAGCGGCTGTCAAAGGACTTCTACTCCATGCCACCATGCGCCTTCGTTGCGGACCGGTCCCTACTCTTCTAGATTTTTAGCTCGTTTGTGCAAAACGGGGATATTGATTTTGGAACTGTATTTCGGAAGTGTGTCTTGGGTTCCAAGCTGCTGCTGGGCCTCCTTCTTCTAGAGGCTAGGAACAGTTGCAATGACCATCTCCACCCCATCCGCGCTGCTCCCCCCAGCGGAAAAGAGATTTCCTCCCGGCATCCTCTGCTGAAGCGCCCCAGCGCGGGAAGCCAGGGTGGACGAAGGTGGAGGGCGCGGGCGCGCAATTAGGTGTGCTCAGCAGCCTGGCGCCCTTGGTTGGCTTCCCGCTCTGAAATTATGTACTTTGATTCCTCATACTACAAATGTGTACATCTCGCCTTTTTCGGAAGGTCTTCTCCAGCCTAGCTTTGGGGGCTTCTTCTAGTGCCTGGGCATCTTTGTCCGACCAGCCTAGGGATACCTCGGGCCTTCGAAAGCCTTGTGAAGTCCCGCGCAGGGAAAGGAGAGGCATGTCCAAGGGCCCGACTGGGACCGAGTGATGCGGTCAAGGAGAGCCCTCCCAGCCTGTGAGTTCGATCCCAGAGTGGTGCAGGTCTTGTAGGGTTCCTGGGGTCCGAGCCTGGACACTTTAGGATCTTCAGAGCCAAAAGATGAGGGGGTAGGTGCAGGAAACGGCTCGTTAGGAGCTTGTGTTTGGTGGTACCATAGCGGCAAAACCTGTCAGCATTTGGAACGAAACAATAACAGCGACACGACCTATCGTGGAATACTGTGCCCTTTCTTGAGGCGCTTTGCCCCCGTAGTTTTACTTAAAACAAGCAAGTAAACAAACCACCACAACAAAAAACCCTCCATTTGAAACAGAGTCTACTTTTGTACCCATTTTCCAGATGGAAAAACAGAGGGTTAGAAAAGCGATCAAAGATTTTGCTCAGTCTTGAAGCAGCGGGGCAGGGACTAGGAGAAGCGCGCGGCCAGGGCTCTTCTTTCCTGCCAGCCCCGCGGTGAGGCGGCTGGGGTTCAGAAAACCCGGATCAGCTGTTGCCTCCCCTCCCTTCGCAGCAGGTTTCTGGCAGCCAGGACGTTCCCTGGGCTAACCCCTCGCTCTCCCGACCTCTCTGCCCCACCCCCACGCTACTGGCCGTTGTGTGGAGCCTAGTTCGTCCGTGTAGGGAGTTGCAGTCAAGGCAGAGGTCCATCGAGGGCGAGGGGAGCTGGAGGTGGCAGTCAAACCCATACACCTACATCCAGTCAGGCCTGGCGCTAAAGGATGGGATCCCGCGAGGCTGGGGACGCCCCCGTCCACCTACCCGGGAAGGGCCCCGGGGCTGAGTCCAGCCTTCCATCGGACTTGCAAAGTACACCTTCAATACCTCCACCTCGTGGCACCCTCCTGTTTTTCCTGCTTGCTCAGCATCTGACACCACAAACATCCTCAAATAGGGTGTACATTAATTTCCCACCCCTCCATTCCAAAGTCAGGGGAGCCTCTGTGTGTGTGACCCGGTTTGCCCATAATAAAGTTGCAGAGCCGGAAAGAGCCGATAACTTCGCCGCTTTGCGGTTGTGGTGGCGGGGTGGGGATGGAGAGGGGATCCGCGAGGGCACAAGGTGGAAAGGTGACCCAAACCCTTCTGGTTTCCAAGGGTGTTTGCAGTGGTAGGAGGAAGATTGCTTGGGTTGAACACCAAGAGTATTTGTGCTTGTAAATTCAAAAGCCTCGGCCGCCCCAGAAGCTGAATTTGAACCTAGGACCCGATGGTGTCGTGGGATGCGCCGCCTCCCGCCCCGGAGTTAGCTACAAAGTTTAACTCTACAATCGAAACGTGACTTCTGCAATTTCCAAAACGGGATCTCACCAGCGTCTCCCGGGGTGGGGAAGCGGGATGGAAGCCCCAAAGTGAAGTGGGGGGGTGGGGTGAGGGGAAGAGCGGGGAAATCAATTGGGGGGAAAAATACACGCGGGATTAAATAAACTAAGAGGCTCAGTGGGCGGAATTCTGGATCTGGGTTTTGAAACAGAGAGGGTCCCTCTACCTTTGGCCATCTGGCTGTTTTAAGCTCTGCCCCATGCTGTATGATTTTAGCTGAAAATCTCTTCCGTTGCAGCTTTGCTTTTATTGAATTCATCAAAAGCAAACTTTCCCTGAGTTTTTTTTTTTTTTTTTTTTTAAGAAGGCTAAAATAATACGCCGACCACTGTGACATTCTACGCGCCCAGGCCATTTTTCATAACGCCGCGGATCCGCTTTTGTGCCTCTGAGGCGGCTAAACAGATGAATAACGAGCAAAGTCTCCCGAAAGTAAGCTAGCAGCTTTTCTCAGCTCGAAAAAAGTTAACTGAAATGAGAGGTGCATGTAAAATCCCCACGCCCGAAGATGGGGGCCACACTTTTATGACTCTGAAGGACAACGATGTCTTTTAAAAAGCAACTAACTCTCCACACCCGCACACACACACGGTCACACACACACTAGCGCACTTGCTCACACAAACCACACAAACTTTGTGCCTGTGAAGCTGCCCAGGTGGTGTTTAGAGAATTTTGGTAAAGAAAGAAGTAAGAAGTATCTGAGGCAGATTCTAGATGGCGAGATACGAGAAGGGCGAAACAGGTTTTATTTTCTTTCTGTTTTAGAATTTTTTTTCTCTTCTTTTTCTGTAGCCGCAGCTAGTTTGATAGTTGTTTTCTGACAAGAGGGAAGAAAAGGCTGCAGCACTAAAGGAAGAAACAAAGTGTTAAAAGGATTCTCAAATGTAGTATTGTGGCAGGTCGGGGTAAGTTACGTTTTCTTCTGTTTTCTCTTTGGTTTTGGAACTCAGTGAAAATGCACTTTGGGAAGAGTTTTCCTGTTGTTTTTAGAGACGGGAAAGTGACTCCAAGCTACCTCCCGGAGCGACTGCCTCCTGCGACTTTGGCTTGGCGAGCGTTGTACGGGGAGGTGTTTTCTCCTCGAACCCCGACAGTACCGTGCCCGAGGCCCGCAAGCCGTGAGTGGCCGCGGTTGGCACAGCCGCGCCCGGGCCACAGAGGCAACAAGTCGTGGACTCTCTCGCCCCAGGCGAGCGCTGAGCGGCGCCGCGCCGCAGCTGAGCCCGTGGCTCGCTGGACTCTCAGGAATGAATTTTGCACGTGTAAACGGCTTGGTTGTGGACGCGCACAGCTGCGACTCACAGGTTTAACAGGGGAAAAAACTCTTCCCTCGAATGGACGATTTGGAAAAACTCAGCCATTGGTTCTCGCCAGATGATTATTGATGCAAAGCAAACCCTATGGGTTGGAGCTTGCGCGCGTTTGTTTAACCCCCCAAAAATTCAGCTTCCGTGTTGCTCAAGTTGACATCCACTCGAAATCGTTTGTGTTGTTTTTTTTTTTTTTCCCCCCGAGGGCTGAGAAAATAACCAGGCGTGATCTGTGGGAGATAGTGTAGACACGTTAGGGCGGGAGACGTATTTTACCGGAAAGCGGTGTCTTGTGTTCGCAGAGAGCAGGGAAAGTGGCCCCAGAGGAACTCAAACTGCGGCTCCCAGTGAGCGCAAACACGCATTTGCAAAGACGTGCGCTATAAATGCGCTGTAGTATGCACTTTCTTGTCACTAACCTGCGACTTTAGGACTCGGTTCTTACGTTTGAGTAATATTTTTTGGTCTGCTGTTTATTGGGCGCGTGGTCTTACATTTAATTACTTAAAACAACGACCTGCAAAAGTCTGCTGCAAGCCAAGTTTTATAGTTATGATTATTAGCTCTCCTCTACCTAGAAATGTGGAAATAACACGCCTAGCGCCAGACTGGGCAGAGATGATCCAGTTGCGGCAAACACGTCTTTGCCAGTGGAAGAAGCCGCGAGAAATTGACTAGGGAATCGGTCCGAGGCGATTTTGCTCTGGAGCAGGAGCGACTCCAGCGCCTGGGTCTGGCGGGGCGAGCATATAAAATGCAACTTTTGCCCCATTGGTTCGCTAGGTGAATTAGCACATACTGGGACTGAACAGTCCTTGACCTTTGCCTTTATGTTTGCGCAAATGTTTGCCTAAAACACAATCGGCCTTGACAAGGGAGCATGCTACCGTGTGACACTGCCTATTCACCAGATAGATGTTCCCTGCCACACACGACCCGGAGCAGCCTTTTAAATAGCTTAGGTATTTGTACAAACCGTATAAATTAATGTCGGATGATTGCTAGTTGCTGGTTAAATAGGAGACCATTTAGATGTGAGATACACATCTCTCTCTGGCCTTTTTTTCTTCCTAAAAAGTGGGTAAGATGATGAAAAACAAAACTGATAGTGAAAGAAAGTTTACGTTTGTGGGAGTCAGCAGTTTCTTGTTTCATCAGTTGGGCGCATGAGTGTGGTTCCCTTGTAGATGACTTTTGCACGAAGATGGGGGTGGGTGAAGGTAAAGGAAGGGTGGAGCAAAGTGAGAGAGACTAATGCTTATCATAATTGGCAACGGAAAGGTTTGGGATGCGAGGCTGAAACTCCCAGAGGACTGACTGCTTCTGGGGGCCAGTCAGCAGGTTCTCAGTGCCCTGGAAACCTCTTGGGACTTTTGGGATGCTTTGCTGATTCCCTAGCTTGATGGTTCTGAACAGTTTCCTTCAAAAAATCCAAATACTTATGGAAGAGGAGGAAAACACATAGAAGTCTAAACTTGTTTCATACCCTCTTTTTAAAACCGCACACTGCAGACATGAAATGATTTGAAGGAATGAGTTGCCTTTCCCTGAACTTTGACATAGAAAAAAAAAAAAAAAAGAACTTTCCTTTGCTGTGTTTCCTAGCTGGGTTCAGAATTTTCCACATTCCTCTCATTACTGGCAAAATGACAAAACCTCACCAATTTCCAGGGTTCAATTTCCAGGGCATATAGGACTGCGGAGACCGGAACAAAAACGAAGAAAAACAAGGGCCTTTCAGTATTTCCTTAGAGAGTGTCTTTTGGGAGAGAGGAGTGTTTACCTCCTTCATCTCAAGGGGACACAGCTGACCAGGGCAGCACCAACTCCTGCCCCAGCCTGGGAATGCAGACTTGAACGCATGAGAGCCAGCAAGGTCTTTCGCGGGTTTCTTTTAACAGACATCAGGTAGTGATGAGGGTGGGTCACCAGTTCTCCATTGGAAGCCCTGGCTTTTACTTTCTGGGCAGCATTTACCTTCTTTTTCTTGGGTGATGTGTTCAGATTAGGAATGTTTGTTTAAGAAAAGCAAGGTTTTCTATCAAATTTAGGTGCAGCACAAATGTAGCAGAAAGGTAAAAACAACAATAGTAAAATGCAAAAACAACACAACCCAACATTTAAGAACAGGTATCAGGAGACAATGGTAAACCTGAGTGATAGAGAAGAAAATTAAGGAGCCCACTTTCATTTCCCAATAATCCTCCACAACAATTTCTTAGCCAATGGATCAGAGTTGTTAGTTCACCCTTATTGTTTAATTAAAATGCAGCAGGTCCAAACCACTTAAAAATTGGTTTTTTTGTGTGTGTATGGTGGAAGACAGCATGGGTAGTAGCTTGTGTGTTTTGGCTTTAAATGTAGAAATGCAAGCAACTAAATATGCATAGAAATTGGATTTGAGTTATCAGGAAGGTTATTTGTCCATTTTATTAAGTGTATAATCATATTAACTGCTTTTAAAAATTGTTTTAAAGTAAAATGTGGGTCTCTCTTTCTCTCTCTCCCACTCCCCATTTCCACCATTCCTTCCTGATCTTTTAGAGAATTTAGAAATCAAAGATACAGGAAAGATTCTTCAAGGCTCTACTCTGATATATTCTAAAGCGATACGGAGAAAATAAGGCAGCAATGTGTTTCAAGCCCTTTCTTGTAGCTGTGCTTGTGATGGATAACATTTGTTCAGGGTTATGGGTGAACCAGGACCTGCAATCCACAGTTCATGGCAATCAACACAAGTAACTTAAGTTTAAATCTAATTGTTCTAAAAATCAGCTTATGAATTCAAGAAATTTCCAGATTTTCTTAGGTTGAAATAATTTTAATAAACCATATCAAGTTAGAAAAACATCTCCAAATTATATAAAATGAATTTCATGTACAGCCTAGCTATCAACAGTTCAAATACTTAGTTAATTCATTTATTTATTCAATCAGTCACTCAAATTGAAGGTGAGAGATGATCAGTTCCATGAATTGCTGACAGACTTCTGGAATTTGTACATATTTCTAGCCAAAGCTAAAATACCATTATTCATTTAGTAATTTATTGATACAAATGAATACACAGAACAATTACGAGAACTGTTTTTATTCAAATAAATAATCCAACTTTAATGGGGAAGAAACTAGGAAACTGTTTTAATCATTTTTTGGAAATAAGTGAACATTGACAGTAATGTATTTTCCTCAGAAGAAAAAAGAAGAAAGGGCAAAAGCACAAATTTATAGACATATTTGGAAAATTAAGGTAACTGATATAGAAGTTGACTCTGCTGAAAATTCATTTGCATATAAAACTAATGTTCCTAAAAGGTAAAGTGATTGTATTTACAAGACACAGAAACTACAAAATCTGTTAGATGATGCTATACAGTATGTTAGCCTCTTTAATAATAATTTTCTTACTATCTTGATTATAAAATATTCCTGTATAATCTGTAAAGTTTTTATATTTTACTCCATGGTAAAATTGAAGTGAAGACATAGAGTTAGATTTCAGGACTTGGAGTAATGGGACAGGGCAGCCTAGACCTCACTCCCATTCTATTTTCTCAAAAGTAGTTTCCCTCTAATTTCTGTAGACACAGATTATAGTGTTCTAATAATCCTCAACACCTGTATACTAGTGAATTCTACACGAAAACCTTGAAATGGTTTGGAGGCATGTGAATTTAACTATCAGTTACTGAATTTGAGTTGGACTAGCCCAGATATGCCACTGAGAAGTGCTGTGTTTATGCACATGAATAGCTAGCACGTATAGAATTGGGGGTCTGAGAACAGCCATCCACTGATGGATGATGACAGTTGGTTTTCTAGGTGCTGAGACAGAGAGCTCATCTCACCTCTGTTTTCATTCACAATCTCTGACCAAATAAGCTGTGCTCTGATTTCCAATGCCTATTGCATCCACTATCAGGCCCTAATTACCTGCTCCTGGCAAACAGAATGCAGAGGCTGGGGCAATACTGTCCAGGGATTAGATTCTAGAGGGCATTTGGATTGGATTCCTGGCCAAGCATCATCCAGGAAGTGAAATTTATTATTTCCGTGCGTAGAAACTGTTCCTACTGATAGTCTTGGAATATCTCAGACTTTGTGATGTATGGGCCCCAATCTTAATCCCTTTTTATGAAAAATTATTAATCCAGAGTTAAGGAAGGGGGAGGGAACAGTGCAGGGCCAAGGGCTCTTGAGAGGTGTAAGAACCACAACTCTACCTGACATTTCAGGAGCCCCTTAATTTGCCAACAGGGCATAGCCAGGTGCCTGCACTAATCAGTCACTCTGCGAAGTTGATCCCCACAGGGAGTGAGAGCTTGGCAGGTACCTCGAGGAGGGCTGGGGGCTCAGTCTGGTTTATCTGAAAGCAGGCTGGTGGGGAGCAAGGAGCTTTAAGTAGGGTTTTCTAGGCTCCTGCTCTTCTGCTCAAACGCAGCAGATCCCTGTTTGCTTTGCCTTTACCGCCTCTCTGCAACAGTGTGAGAGAACCTCTGAGCTCGCTCTCTCCCCTCCCGTCACCTTCTCCCACTCCCTAGTACAGCTTCACATCCCCTCATCTTCTCCATTCCTCTCAGTCCTTCACAACACCT